TCGGATGACGCCACGTGGAAAGGTTCTGAAACGGCGCAACTTTTCAGGGCCGACAAAAATCGCAACGGCCACATCGCATTTATGGACCCGCCGTTTCGGGTCGCATCATCAATGGATAGATCCAAAAGGGAAAGATATTTTGCAAAGTTAGGTATAAGAGCCAAACTAATTGACAGATAAGCCAAGATTAAATTAGGCAAACTCGGGTCTAGATATCAAAGTGATGACCTTGGACGAGAAGCCGGGGAGCTCTCATCCGAGCTCGGGGGCCCTGTATGTTGATATCCGAGTTAGCCAAGAGAAGACTGGACGGAAGCTACCTCGAAAACCGGGCTGGGAACCTGGTCCGGCACAGAAGTGTTTAGCGGGATTCTGAATATAAAATGGCCAGTGTCACCACGGAAACAATCTCTGAGGTCGGCACTCAACTAACAGGTTCGAGGTGCCGAGTCCACTAGGAGTCAGGCTGGAAAAAGGTTTCTGAAGGCTTGCGGAAGATAAAAGTGTTTAAGAGCCGACCTAAAAATTCAGTGCGGCTAGCTTAGGGATAGGCGATGGGCTAGATAATAATATAATAATGCCACTTAGAAGATCATCATTGGCGATTGGACGGGCCGTCATAGCCTGTCACCCTATCGGAATCTAGCCCGACAAAAGTCTGCCAAGCATTAAATGCCCCCATGTGTGCATTAAATGCCTGTCAGGTAATGATTGATAAAACCTCAAATCACATTTAATAACTGTCAGGGAGGCGCCAGGCTGCTCTGCACGAACAATGTACGACAAGACCAGTGAACAATACCTGAATAGTGGAACATTTAAAGATACTATAAATAGGAACCCTTGTCATTTATTTTGGGTTGTTGAATCCTCAACTAACTTCCTCTCTAACTTTCTCTCTCTAAGAATCTACAGCAGAATCCCTGTAATAATTCCAACTGTAACAGAAGTGTCGATCTCGTATGAGAGGCCGACCTTGAGATTATTTAATAAAATCATAATTAATCGTATTTCTCTCCTCGTTTCTATTTCCTACTCTTATTGTATCATATTTTAACCGTTGATCGGATCTGTCCATCAACACACCTTTTGGCACGTGCCGGGTCAACCAAATCTGAGTAAGAACCTCTTTCGAATGAACAGATGCGTCAGCATCGTGTGCTCGTCGCGCCAGCGGCGACCTGTCGCGTCCTTCTGCAGCACATAGCAAGTTGTCGCGCCCGCGACGAGGCCTGGCGCACAACTGCACGTCGGGAGCTCATATGCACTTGTTCGGATTCGGAATTTAGTTCCGCTTTTTCCTAATCGTCACCAACGAGCTCCTCTACAATTCTAGCATACATAATAAATGATTATGGATCGTTTAGTTTTTCCAAACATTTGTCAAAACTGTATATTTGTGAACCTTACAATCTTTGAGTTACTTAACCTCAATTATTTAACATTTAACCACTAGAATTAATTTTCTCATTTACATTAAAATGGTTTTGAGAATGTTTTATGTCTTCCACTTACGGAATATGGATAGGGATGTCAATAAAACTCATAGGGTCGGGTTACTAGCGGGTTACCCACATTTTTGGGTCGGGTAAACACGAGATGATTGGGTTTCGGGTCGATTTATGGTAGAATAATGCTACCCGAACCCCGGGGCGGGTCGGGTGCGGGTATAGTAGGCAAACCCATTACCCGACCCGATTACTCTACCCGTTTACCCGCAACCATTGAATTATATATACATACATACACATACACACACACATACATATATATATATATATATATATATATATAACTTATAATAAATATAAAAATGGTCATGTGTTATTTTTAAAAATTAGATTATATATTATAATTTTAATTAATGGTTTAATTTAGTTTATTTTTTATAATTTTATTATCATTTTTTGGTTAATTGTATAATAAAAATATTTATTTTAAATATTATAATATTAAATAGAATATAAAAGATAAATAATCATATCTCATTATTTATTCAAAAAATAATATATTTTTTATAATTTTTTATTGTCAAACTTAGTTAATAAATTATTTCTTATATTATAATTAATTGTGAAATTATTTTATTTATTTTTTATATGAAATGAGATGGGTCAGAAAAACCTAATTTAAGACTCGGGTTACCTATTTACCCGACGAAAACCCACTAACCTGCCGGGTAAAACCCAACCCGAACTCAAAAATCACTAGCCGAGTAACGGATCGGGTTTGGGCAGTGTAAATTATATGCGGGTCGGGTTCGGGTTTGTCAAAACTCGTACCCAACCTGACCCATTTACATCCCTAAATATGGAACCGTTAAATTGGTACAAATCTATTTTTTTATTACACTATACTTGGGTTGTATTATATTGAATTTTATTATATTACCTTTTTTTGGTGTATTAGCTTTGATTCTTCTTACATTTTAGGAAATCGTTGTGATGTTCTAACACTATAGATTTTACAACTGAATGACAATGGTCATTTTCAAGATATATATTTTTTAACCGAAAGCTGAATCAAAAGATTATAAAATATTAATTTGGCAAGTGTTCGATAAAACTTAGTATTTTTTTATGATTTTCTTGCTAGAGGATCAAAATTAAAAGAGATTGTTTTTCTATCATTTCTTGTACTTAACTAGTTCCTTTGTATTATTATCTATATATATATAAACATATTTATCATTTTTTAAAAATGGCAGGTCAACTTCTTAGTCAAACAATCTTATCATTAATTACTTTCTAATTCTAGCAAATCTATTACTTATCTTCCTTAATTCACGCATGCAGCATTTAATTCATTGGAGTTGTCAATCTATGCATTTTATATATCCCTTTTTGGATTGTCATATTCACATTTAGATCTATTTTTTCGGAATTCAATTTTTTTACTCCATTTTTTACTTTCACCCAAATCTAAAAGAACATAAATTGAATAAAAATATATTTTGTTTTTTAAGAAAAAAGTGTACTACAATTAATCCAAAAAATTATACTATTCAAGTGAACACAAAATGATAATTTTTACATTTAAATCTGATTTTTTTATGAACACAAATTCTGTTAATATGTAAAAAAATACGGAAGTCTTTAATACAATTTGTTAATTTTGTAATAGCGACGAGATTAACATTAATCTATATCTATATATCTATACTTATAATAAAAGCTATACTATTTACTAAATGTAGTATGTAGAATAGTCAACCCTAATTATTGATTTGCTATTTTTATCAAGCATTTAATTAATGTATCTAATATTTTTAGTATGCAAATCAAATTAGCATTTAATTAGTTCCTAAAATATTGAGTATGCAATATTAATTTAGGAATATCCATGTATTTCCTAAAATATTGGTATGCAATACGTAAAAGAAGATTTTTAATTTTTTTAAATATAAAATATTGTAATACGTAAAACTATTCCAGTTATTTTTTATTTTATTTTATATATAAAATTTAATCAATATTTAATGCATTCTACAAAATTGGATTTAGTTTAATTCTCCATACAATTGATTTTAACCTTTTCAGTTGTACTTTATTTATTTGTTTATTTTACTATTTTAAATTAATGAAGCTCTCCGAAAATACCAAATCAAATGATTTATAAA